TAGCCAAGCGCGGGCAGAGCGAGCTATTTCCTGACACTAAAAATAATCACTTCAGGGTGAATGTTGAGTGAAGGGGGTTTTGGGGTGGGGGGGCTAAAAGCTTGGCATGAAGGGATGATATTAAAACAAGCTTCAAAGAGAGCTAGGATTTGCCATGCAGGTGTTTAAAGTAATCCATCAGCGATGAACTGCGGTCTGCAACTATTTATATACATGCTGGAATTTGACGGAATAAGGCAGATTTTCTCTGAGGAGAGAGCTATAAATGAAAAAGAAATTCTGAATGACATTATATCAAATACCAATTGCTCTCAAGAAGTGCTATTGAGGTATCATTTATATATTTGTAGTGTTTATTAATAGTCCGTTTTTATTATTTTTTTTATTTTAAATGCCATTTTAATTTGAGTTTTAGTCCGTTTTATATATTATAATAAAATTACTAAATCTCAAGATTAAATAAAAATAACTTGTAGATGTATTAATATATATATATATATGTGTGTGTGTGTGTGTATTTTTTTTCTTTCTAGTTATTTAATACTTTAAATAACAATTTGTTTTCTATTTATAATTGACAAGGCAACTTTTTAAATTTTCATTTGTGTTCCACGGAGTTTTGAAAGATGCATTTTATTTCTTATTTTATTTTGTACATATTTAGTTTTAGTAATTTCGTTACTATTAATACTTATTTTGTTTTAGGTATTTGTTCATTTAAGCATTTTAGGGTTTTCATCTAATTTTTATCACAGCTTTATATAAATTGACAAAAGGGATTTTTAATAGTTTTTAGTTAACAATAAAAATGCTCCTGTGATGCAATAAAATGTCTTGTTTTAATGAATAATATGTTTATCACAGCTTTATATAAATTGACAAAAGGGATTTTTAATAGTTTTAGTTAACAATAAAAATGCTCCTGTGATGCAATAAAATGTCTTGTTTTAATGAATAATATCAAATAAATACAACTCAACAGAGCGTCCTTGAGGAACTACAGTGTTTGGCCTATTTAGACCACTAGATTTAATGTTATTGGTCTTATGAATGTCTATGAATGAATGAATAAGGTCTGTAATTCTGCAGTTGCATATGATTTTTTTTATATACCTATGTGTAAATCTACAACATTTGCAATTGACTATCAGTGCTAAATTATACATGGCAACTGTTGTTAGCAGTAACTACAATACAGTCGTATATCTGGGAGGTTAAACAGGAAGTTCTAATCAATCATTGAAATGAAAATGAGTCGAGGCCATTACAGGCAGAGTTCATCCAGAAATTAAATCATATCTTTCGAAACCTGTACTAAAAAGTATAAACCTGTATAAATCCACTGTGGAATACACAAAAATAGATGTTTAGTAGAATGTCAAGGCTGCGCTTTTCCATAAAATGAGTAAATATTTCTTTTGTGCATGTGTCATGATTTCAAGGTTTTAACTAATAGCTTAGAATGCTTTCCTTTGAAACAAATCAGAGTTTCGAAAAGACGCATTAAAATTCACACAAAAAGATGGTTATGTAACAGGACTCCAAGACTTTAAACATCATCAAAACACATCCACTGGGAATTAGGCAAGCCGTACTGTACATCTGCTCAGGTTACTGCCAAGAATGATGCCAGTCTATGTGACACACACCCACACACCCTCTGTCACTTTCAGACGCTGGTTGTGAATCCGCTGCCTGTTTAATTACAGAGTGGTGGCAGACGTGCCATGGATCAGAATGTCTGTGTGGGATGTGTTCAAAGAAACATGGCTTACAGTAACGTTTCGAATTCTGAGGCTCCTACAACAGATCTTCTACAACAGACCAATCTGATTTGCATGTCATCATGCGTTAAATGGCAATCAAGAAACTGAGCAAGGCAAGCAAAACACAGGCAAGCGGCCCATTGCAAACTGCAGACCAAAAAGACTAACAGTAAGTGCATATGAAATACATTCAGCCAAAAATTTACACCACGTATTTCCAAATTTACAGACGCAGGGAGACGCTATTCATACTCTCAGTCCCTAATGAATCTAAGGTTGCACGCAACATGAACTAACAATAAACTATAATTTTACAGCAGTTATTAATCTCAGTTCATGTTAATTTCTACATATCCACATGTAATATGAATGAAAATGAAACATGATAATATACGTCACAAATGTTAACATTAAAATAACTGCAACCAAAGCTAAAATTAATAAATGAAGGTGTCATTGTGCCTAATTTTTAATACTACAATATTAAAATGTTGTTACTTTAGATATAAAAATAACAGCTAAATTAAAATAAATAATAATCATCATAAAATAAAAATAAATACGAAATTGTTACTTCTGAAATTAAAATAACTGAAAAAAAACAACATATGAAGGTTCAGCTAACTGTGTCATTCTGCCTAATCTTTAATATTACACTTTTATTTCTTTTTACATTTTTAACAGTAAAACAACCGCAACCGAAGCTTAATTGAAATTCATTTTTTAAGCTTGAAATTAAAGTTCAGCTTAATGTCCCATTGTGCCTCAATTTTAATAGTAAAATATCACAAATTTGTTACATTTTTAACATTAAAAATGTTTGTTTAAAAAAAAACTTTTAATGAAACCAAAGCTTAAGATAAGAAACGAAAGTTCAGCTAAATGTCTCATTGTGTATATTTTAAAAATATAATAAAATATTTACAAATGAGAATGTATATAAACCTGTCCATCAGTAATGATTTTTAATGGCTTTGCTATGTAAGCATAATATAGCATTACGAAATGTTTTTGTTATATTAAAATTTGATTTAATACAGTATGTTACAGATGTCCGTCCCTCGATCCACAAAAGGGCTAAAAAAAAAGTTGGAAGACCCCTGATTTATTCATCTATCAATTTAGACCACATAATGATTAACAAATATTATGGATTTTATTTTAGACATATTTGTATCCGATAGTTCACTCAGTACATGTGGATGGTCATTACGGCAAAGAAAATGACACCAGTAACGTTGTCTATCCATCGTGAAGGTTTTCAACTCCAAAGCCATTTTACCACTGTACAGAACACAGTTGAAAATACATATATCATACATCAAAACAGATCCCAACTGAGCAGGGGAGCAAGCTAAAGCTCCATTTGGAATATCAAGGGAACACACCCCTGAATCCTGGCTTTCACCACACTATGAAAGTCAAGTCATTTCTAGAGCATCTCTATGAACAAACTGCACATTTGACAAAATAACTAGAGAAGCAAACCAACAAAAGAGTAAGTTATTAAACTAAAGAAAAAAAAAGAACCATTGCACAGAGGGGACACTCCTTTTGCCTTGCATTTCATACTGCAACCATACAGTTCCGCTTCAGTTGCATGAATATAAAAAAACTATAATAATATTAAACTCCAATGGGGACGAATATATAATCAATTATTGATCATTGATCAGATTGAAAAGCATACACGCGCTTGTAAACCATGCATTTGAATCAAAAGCAGTATCAGGTGACTGGTTAAAAGCAATGCATTTGTAATACAATGACATATTTAACCCTTAGTTTCATTAAATATATACAATTCTTATATATAATGCATAGCCAACAGCTGGTATGCATCCATGCATGAAATAATACACTTACCTCCAACACACAGCAGTGACATCTCTTTATCAATTATTATCCTCGCCCTTTTGCCTTATTTTAGATAATAAAACTGTTGTTAAAACGATTTAGGGATTTTATTTTGACGTTGAGAAACCTCCCCTTCCCGTTATCAAACTCTACCCTAAAATATACAAAAACAACAGCAGCTGCTATTCCGAATCGCCCAGATTACTTGACTCGAGGGTGTTTCTAGCCAGCCTCTCGACGGTGATTATTAGCGGATTATATTTCAGCCGCTCGTAACGCGACGCACAGCCATCTTGTTCAGCACCGCCGCCGCGAGGAGAGCTACTGCCTCTCCACTCCTTTCCAGCAGAACCTAACCAAAGCGAGGCGCGATTATTAAGAACTGTGAATTCATAACGGCCGGCAATTAAACAAATATGGTTTTAATTGAAAATGAGGTAGAAATTAAAATTTGGGGACTGAAAGACTCCAAGGTCCATTTTTAAGCTGTCGAAAAACCTACTTAAAGGGACAGTTCACCCTAAAATGGTAATTCCCAAATTGTCATAATTCACTCACTGACATGATGTTCCTAACTCGTAGGATTTACTTTCTTCTGTGAAACACAAATGAAGAGTGAATGATGGCCTCAGACTCCATTAACTTGTCAAAAAAAAATGCTATGAAAGTGAATGGTGACTGAGGGTGGTTTGTTCCGAACATTATGTAACATCTCCTTTTATGTCAATTCCGAATTTAATGAGAATATTGAATAAAATAACGCTACAGAGAAATGTGTACTGCAATTGTCTTTCAAAAACAATGGTTGATATTATAAAATTGGATATCAAATATTAAGAGTTAATTCGTTTTTAAAATGCATTGTATGACTTATTAATCATTTTATATGACTCACATTCGTTTTGGCTGCATTCTGTAAAAGAAGACGGATAAAGTCATATTCAATTCTTAGGTCTGGAGGAAAATTTTGTTATATATATATATATATATATATATATAAAATGTAATTCCAAAGGATATGATGTATTTCTTTTGATCAAGTGAACACTCCCTTTTTTTCTTTAGATTATAGGACTTTTCTTTGCTGTGGCCAATGTCACCCTCTACTGGATAAACATACAACCCAAGGCTGAATAATGTAAGGTTAAGTTAAATAATTCTTGCCAGACTTTATTATCTTTTTTTCCACCACAAGTTTTTTTTTTCATATTAAAATAATTGATACAATCCAAAAAAAAACAAAAATCCATTCAAGTACATCACCAAAGCTGTGTAAACTCTTGCCACTTGAAATATTTTAATGCTAGAATTCATCACCCTTTGCAATGCCAACTGACTTCTGGTTCGTTCAAAAGGGAATGCAACCGAAAACAAACATTATTTAGGAATTTTAATTCAGAAACCATAATGATTAGGAATGCTACTCAATGTTTAGAGTAAAATTCATGGTGCAGTTCTCAGGGTCATGCAATCCACAGCACTGTGCAGCAAGGGTTTAGGTCACCCGATGTAAAACACTGCACTTTACATTTCATTACAACTTAGTAAAGACAATATTACTTTGTAAAAATCGTAGCATGCCTTTAAACCATGCTTTCCATGATTCTACATGGACTTAGTCTTTAAATGAGCTGCTGTAATTGTCAAAACAGCAATAATATGATGGATTACATTACATGAGTTTAGAATCCGCCGGCACCAGTGTTACAAATTAGCTTATTGGCGAGTAAAAATATCCAATTAAACTGTATGGCCCATTACACCCTGGAAGGCAGAAAAATCATAGGTAGAGCATGGTGATCCCAGGTCTTCCCAATTCTTGGGACATCTAGATCCACCACAGCTGTAGACATGCTTTCAAAGCTTCTCACTGGAGGAAAATAAAGAAGAACCAGATAACAATGTAATAATTCAATTCAATTCAATACACTTTATTGTCCCCAATGGGGTAATTTGTCTTGGACCCTGGAGCCCGCATACACATACACTGATCAACTAATATATCTCCAGCAGCATATGTATGATCTTATGCAGTGGTGGACAGTAACAAAGTACATTTACATTGTTACTTTATTTTTAATTTGAGAAATTTTTACTTCTAATTCCAAAGCAAAATATTGTGTTTTTTATTTAAAATTATATTATATATATATATATATATATGTGTGTGTGTGTGTGTGTGTTGCGATCTGGGAAAACCTGTCGGATGTTGCGCTTGGACGTTTTCAGTAAAATTAGAAAAATAAGTTGATTGTCAATTTGTCGTCAAAATTAGGTTTTCATTAAATTATTATTCTATAACATCTTGTCTATCATCTCTGAAAATATCTTGGCAAAATGTACTTGTTTAGTGCAGACAAATAACGATTTATTGCCGCAAGCAGAAAATACTTTCTCTTATGTTAAGAACGCGCTGCGGAGGTGCTTTCTCTTACCACCACAAAAAAGTTAACCTATCAAAATAAACAACGTAACATATATAATAAAGGTGTATCGATGCACATTTCCCGCCAGTCCTGTGTAAACTACGGCACGCAAAGTTTTTTTATTTTGTTAATCTGAAAATATCTTGGCAAAATGTACTTGTTTAGTGCAGAAAAATAACGATTTATTGCCGCAAGCAGAAAATACTTTCTCTTATGTTAAGAACGCGCTGCGGAGGTGCTTTCTCTTACCACCACAAAAAAGTTAACCTATCAAAATAAACAACGTAACATATATAATAAAGGTGTATCGATGCACATTTCCCGCCAGTCCTGTGTAAACTACGGCACGCAAAGTTTTTTTATTTTGTTATTTTTTTAATATCGTGAGATGGCGGAGAAGGTGATCAAAAGTTCGGAGACTAAGCCCATCATGATAAACAACGTAAAACTGCCCTCTTCAGTGTAACGCTAGTCTGTTTGTGCAATGATGCAGTATAGCGCTCCTGACAGACAGCGATCGTTAAGTAGAAGTGAAACCCATCTCACTTTAAACCCGTTTTTCTCAAAATTCCATTCCGGAAAATCATAGCTATCAGCCAACTTCAGATAGCCATCACTTTTGTTTCGTTCAAGCTATGGACAAAATAAAAACAGTTTTGGAAAGGGCTTGAACCCAACTTTCACATGGTATCATGTGGTAACCTAAAAAAGGTAAAATTTCACCATGTGTTGGGTTTTCCTAGATCGCATCACATATATACTATATATATTATTTATTGTTCCTTGTTATTTCGATATGAAGAAATTGATATATGTATCGCAAACCTGTTGAATGAATCGTTACCTGTCTAGGTGAGCTAAGAGCTCTTGTAGCTTGAGGACTAAGGCGCGATGCTCATGAGGCCTGCTCTCTAAAGCACTACTCAAGCGACTCAGGTATGAGTCCAGCGTTCCAACTGATGGCGTCTCGCCTGTGCCTGAACAAAAAAAAACAAAGCTGTTTCCCCCTGCGATCAGAAAAATCATCTATCATGGTACTGGTAATATGGGCACAGTACAGTACTGACCTGGCAAAGGCACAGTGGCCAGGCTGTTGACCAGTGTCTGTTTGATCACCTGTAGGTGGCGCTGTAGAGCTTGCGTGCGAAGCTCATCCTGGCCCAGCTCAGCCTCCAGTCGCTCTTTAGCGCTGAACATGTCAGCAATGTGCTTCTGGAGAACCGCATTCTGCTCTTCGAACTCCACATTAGCCTTGCGCAGTCGCCGCAGCTCAGCTTCTCGCACTGAGAAATGCGCAATTTTAAGAATATAGCTTTCCACGTTGATGTTTATGGTGTGTTCTGAGAAAAAAAAAAAACGTGAGTACACTTTCAGCAAATTTTCATTCTTGGGTGAAATATTCCTTTAAAAGGAAACATCTGGACAATCAGTTCACGCGCACAAAAAAATACCTGTTTATCATGAGGAGCCAAGCGGCTCCATTCTGCTCCGAGTCTCTTGGTGATTTCTGGGAAGGGAAGATCCGGGTGAAGTGCTCGGATGTGTTCCCGTCGCTCATTCAAGAAACGCACGTAGCCAGTAACCGGAGCCTTGGGGCCATTTGGTAACACCTTCTTTCTCTTCTTCCCTTTTGGCCAGCCTCGCTTCTTTACCGGCTGTGAAGTCGATTGGTTCTGTAACAAATCAATTCAAATTGATATGAATCACATTTGGGAAGAGTATATGAGGAAAATAAGAGTGTGCTTGACTATGCTGACCACAAAACCTTTTACAATGATTCAATCACATAACTGAATTACTCTGTTATACATAATAGACAAGGTTATTGAAGAAATCTAAGGAGTCCTGATCTTACCTCCTCTTGTGCATTATCTGTGTGTTGAGAGTCTTTAGATGCAGGAGCATCCGTTTGCTCTTGCTTTACACCACCCATTACATGAATTCAGAAAATTCTGGAACACACACACACAAAAACATAAAAGGGTAGACTTTTTATTTATCTAGTAATTTACTAACATAATACACGTTAACTGAAATAAACTTTTTATTAATTATTATTTTGTTTCAGATATTTGCCAAGACAACATTTGTCATTTTCATTTAGTTTAACTTGATGTACTAAAAAAACTAAAACCGAAAAAAAATCGATATAGATTTATTAAAAAAAAAAAAAAAAAAAAACTACTAAAAAAAGTAACTAAAATTAAGAAAATATATATATATAAAAATACAAAAAAATATATAATAAATCTAAATGATACTACAATAATATTGTTAGGCAGCACAGCCGCAACATGCTGTTCAAAGACATCATGTTTGGAAAACACAGCCATTATTAAATCGATTATTGGCTTATATTTTTTTATTAAATCTGTTTATTGAACTTTTACAATAATAACAGGATACAGATACAGGAGAATCATGAAAAAATAGTTTCCCCCCACCCCACCCCCCAAAGAAAAGAGAGGGGGAAAAACACTGTATTAAAGTATAATTAAACAAACTAAATAAAACATAAAAAATTAAAATTAAAACTCAATACATGTTGTAAAACAAAGGACGTCAAGCCTAATGTCTCGAGTATAGAATATATGTTGGAGCATTAAAGTTTAGACATTTCGACCATGTATCAAATGTATTCATATACCTCCACAAACAAAACCTTACAGCTTTAAAGTATATACATATACATACGTAAGTGTTGGCTTATTTAATACATGTTTTGTTTGCATAAAATATGTAGTATATTGTATATTTGCAAACACGCATGTGAGTTGGAGCTTTAGGTGCATTAATGTTTAAAAAGGACTTTTCTCTGCATCACCGGTTATTATTAGCTAAAGTAGCATAGTTGGCTAACTAGCCTCTGTTGAAGCTCAGACCAAATACATCAGTCTCGTCCTTATGACGAGATTGTGTATTTATATTTATACATACCTATTTGTATTTATCAAAATACCCGGGAAGATTAATACACAATAATTCCACTTACCTACTAGACATTGTGGACAGAAGTAATAACTAGTCTCAAACCAACAATAAAACAGGGATCAATAATGTCTGTCAGTCTGTTTTTTTTATGACCTATCTATCTATCTGTCTGTCTGTTGATCTATCTATCTATCTGCTAAAATGTCTCTCTATCAGCTTATTTAAATGTCTTTGTCAATCTTTAAGTCTATAATAGTTTTTTTCCTTTTACAATTACAGATTTTTATACTCAGATGAAGTGCAAATTGGACCAGAGACCGTTATGACCACGCTTTACACAGCCAAAAAGTACGCAGTACCTGCGCTCGAAGCCCACTGCGTCGAATTCTTAAAGAAAAACCTACGTGCTGACAATGCGTTCATGTTGCTTACCCAGGTAATCACAGGGATTTGAGTCTGATTTGATAGTGGCAATAGGAACTGACATCTTGGACGGCGCCTTTGTTTCAAGTTTGTCCCCCGGCCATCTTTAGTCCCCATGTTTGAGAGCTCCCTTTCAAATCCTAGCAAACAGCGCCTCAAGCTTATTGAGTGTTGTCTGTTTTGTTTTTTTTGCGTGCAGTCTATTAGAGATTATATGAAAACACGGTTCCTTTTGCTTTTAGGCACGGCTTTTTGACGAGCCCCAGCTGGCTAGTCTCTGTTTAGAAAATATCGACAAGAACACCGCTGATGCGCTAGCCGCCGAGGGCTTTACGGATGTCGACATCGGTACTGCTCTTAAGTATCAAATATCACAACAAAATACAATCAGAAGAGTAAGTAAGCAATAGACCGTTTTATGTTCCCTCCTGTGCAGACACCCTTGTGGCAGTCCTGGAGAGAGACACGCTGGGTGTACGGGAAGTGCGTCTCTTCGGGGCTGCGGTTCGTTGGGCGGAAGCTGAGGCCCAAAGGCAACAGTTACAGCCCACGCCGGAGAACAAGCGCAGAGTGTTGGGAAAAGCGCTTTCCCTTATTCGCTTCCCGCTCATGACTATTGAAGAGTTTGCAGCAGGTAATTTCCTGAATGCTTTTCTGAAAAGTGGATCACTTGACCGTCTAAGCTAAAAGGCTAGTGATAGGTGCTCCAACTTCCTGAGTGGCACTAGCCATAGAGCTATACCTTGTGTATGTGTACGATAGGTCCGGCTCAGTCTGGTATACTCACAGACCGGGAGGTGGTCAGTCTGTTCCTGCATTTTACCGTCAATCCAAAACCACACGTGGAGTTTATTGACCGGCCTCGCTGTTGCCTCCGGGGGAAAGAGTGCAGTATCACACGTTTCAGTCAGGTGGAGAGCCGCTGGGGCTACAGCGGAACCAGCGACCGCATCCGGTAAGTGTGTGTTTTTAAAACCATTGATTGAAAAAGTGCTGAGACATTGAACAGGAGCATGTGGTTTTGATTCTAGCCATTTTATATAGCTATCTGATATAGGTGGAACGTTAAAAACGGTTATCGAGTAATGTTTGCATTCAAATTCCTCACAGGTTTTCTGTGAACCGCAGAATATTTGTGGTGGGATTTGGGCTCTATGGGTCCATACATGGTCCAACTGACTATCAGGTCAACATCCAGGTGAGAACTAAGCTTTTTTTTTTTTATCATATTGCAAGCATGATCTGCCTGCAGTACATTCACTGACAGTCAGTGCATGTCTGACAGATGGTCTTTCTGTCTAAGTGGGCAATTCTTGGCCAGAATCAATTGCAATAAGGACCAGATTTTATGCTGCAAGAAAAAAGTCTTGCGACCATTCATTTTTGTAGTTTTGCGCTTGAAGTTGATCTTGGAAATGTGAAAATGTGGCAGTACGTGAGTGGTAATGGTGCACGTTTTCTTCTAATGTAGATAATACATACAGACAGCAATACAGTTCTCGGTCAGAACGATACAGGCTTTAGCTGCGATGGAACGGCCAGTACCTTCCGAGTCATGTTCAAGGAGCCTGTGGAAATTCTTCCCAGTGTCAACTACATTGCCTGTGCCACCCTCAAGGTAAATCAGACTCAAAATTGGTGTATTATTCCATTCATATGCCAAAATGGTTATTGTAAATGCCACCTACAAGCAATGGCAAGTACCAAATCTTGGTTCCTTGCATCTGCAGTTGCATTAATGCTTGTAAAGCTAATCATTTGTTAACTAAAGTCTACTGGCTGTTAATTATCTTTGGCGAAATACAGGAATTTTAATAGGAATCCATGGGATCTGGAATTTTGCGTGAGAGTGAAAGATTTTCCCATGCAGATTTCGCATTGGGTTCAAGATGGTCAAGTGAATTCATTGCATTGACCAACAAAAACCTGTTTTTAGTTTTAAAATTGACTTCTGTGTGAGCTGTGCTTCGAACATCACTACACTATTGAACAATGGACCTTTTTTGACTGCACATGTAGTTCCCTTGAAATCCCTTTGTTACCAAAGAATAATCATTTAATACAATATCTATATAATTTAATACAGTATTTCATTAATTATAAATTAACCTTTGATGGATTGATGCATTTGCAGGGGCCAGACTCTCATTATGGGACCAAAGGGATGCGTAAAGTCACCCACGAAGCGCCTGCTACTGGTACCAAGACCTGCTTTACATTCTGCTATGCTGCAGGCAATAACAATGGCACTTCTGTAGAGGATGGACAAATCCCAGAGGTCATCTTCTACACATAATGACCAAGCAGAATCATCTCATGATTGAGGATTCTTGCATTGGATTTTGTGGCCAATTCACCAGTCTCTGTGAAGACCAGTGACCAAATACTGATCTCATTTCTAATGGCTTTTGTTTCTAAGATTTGAAGCATGAGAATTCAGTCCTTTCAAAGTGTACTTATGGTACAGATTCTGTTTCTACCCAAGTAGCACCTCGTAGTACACCACTTTGATGTTATGAGCAGCCAATGTCATTGCTAATTAATGAACAAATAGGTGAACTTGTCATTGCAATGATCTGATACAGGTACTGTTAAACTCTTGAGGGTAACTCTCTTCCATTTGTACATTTATTTGAATGTTGACAACTGGTGTTTCTTTTGGTCCCACCTTTGACCCTTGATTGTTCAATGCTCATCAGTCCTTCAAGTCTCACTGATGCACTAAAAGGGTTAGTTCACCCAAAAATGAAAATTGTCATTAATTACCCTCATGTCATTTCAAACCCGTAAGACCTTTGTTTATCTTCGGAACACAAATTAAGATATTTTTGATGGAATCTGAGAGCCGTCTGACCCTGTATAGACAGCAACACAACTGAAATGTTCCCAAGTCCAGAAACGTAGCAAGGAGATTTGTAAAATAATCCATGTGACATCAGGGGTTCAACCGTAATTTTACAAAGCTACGAGAATACTTTCTGTGCACAAAAGAAAACAAAACAATGACTTTATTCAACAATTCATCTCCTCCGCCTCACCCTGTAGCGCCATTTTGGAGAGTATCCGCTGGATGTAAACAGTGTGTTCTGTGTCAGCTGTGTCACACAGATACACTGTTTTCATTCAGATCAAATCACAACAATGTAGGAAACCGATCCGGCGTGATGCAGCTGACACGGAACAGCATACATTGTTTACATCCAGCTGATACTCTCCAAAATGGCACTACAGGGTGATGCGGAGGAGACAAATTGTTGAATAAAGTCATTGTTTTGTTTTCTTTTGTGCACAGAAAGTATTCTCGTAGCTTTGTAAAATTACGGTTGAACCCCTGATGTCACATGGATTATTTTACCCATCTCCTTGCTACGTCTCTGGACGTGGGAACATTTAAGTTGTGTTGCTGTCTATGCAGGGTCAGACAGCCCTCAGATTCCATCAAAAAATCTTAATTTGTGTTCCGAAGATGAGCGAAGGTTTTACGGGTTTGAAACGACATAAGGGTGAGTAATTAATGACAGAATTTTCATTTTTGGGTGCACTATCCCTTTAAGCCCCCAGGTGCAACAGCAAGTTTGGGAAAAGTACACTAAATCTCAATTAAGATGTCAATTCATTGTAAAATGGACTTATGTACCTGTTTTGAGTGGCCTGCACCCCTTGCTAGAGGTGAAACTCCATTTCATTGACGGCAATGTGAATAGATGTTTATAAGGTGTTTTACCATAGTTTCCCTTCTTGTAAACCACAAGAGCACTTACATTCACAATGCCACGATGTATAAAAGCTCTGAAGTATGTGAAATACTGAACACATTTCCATTACAATTCTGAATATTCATTTATTGAGATGTTGATATAAGATGAACAGGAAACGGCTTCATGAATGTACCAATGCTTACCTTGTAAGCACTGTAAATATAATGTCCTTGTCTTGTTTCTGTATATTCTATTAAAGTCTGCACCCCAAGCATGTCATAATGGATCAATTTATGAAGTATACATAGTAGGTAATACTGACAACTTGATTTTTGTGAGTGGCATTTGCTTAAGCAAAACTTGTTTCAATGCTTTTTTTTTTCCTCGACTCATTTCAAGTCAAATGAGGCTGAATTTTGAGGCAGATTGATCTTTTAATGATATTACAGCAAACACAAAATATCCATGTGTATTAGTATGCAGTCTTTGTACACAGTACATAAATTGTGCAATTAATTATATTTGACTCCGTTTTAGCACAAAACATTACAAATCCCACTAGGAAGTGAGAAAAGCCACCATTTGCCTGTTGGTCTGTTATACAGATAACTGCATAAGGCAAACAACAAGGCCATCTTAAAACCATGGTCACATCTCCTACAGTGTTCTGGTCTCTTTTTATGAAGGAGAAAGAAATACAGCTCAAGTAAATCTAAAATTTGTCCAAGTAGTTGTCTAAAGCTGGAATGCCTTCTTTGAGTCCCTTGCGCTTTTGTGTGTCAGCCACAATCTAGGCAGGCTTGGATTTGACTTCCATGGGGTCTCCAGGCAGGATCTGCCAATGGTCAAACATACACTGTGGGAAAGCCTGGCCAGATGTGTTGGAGCGAAGGTCAGCTATGAAACCTGCGTAAAGATAACAGTTCAGGCCATGTAACTTAAAACACTAAAAGTGAGAAGACAACAAAAGATATTTTAATTCACTCACCAAATGATTCACTGACAGGCAAGTAGACTTTGACCACAAACATTGGCGTTCCCATAACCTGGGATTCCTCAAATACAAGCCAACGCTTCCCATTTAGTACATCATAGATGCCACCAACAACCGACTCTGGGCACTGTAGATGGATGACAAAGTTAGAGTACAGTAGTAAATACCAAAAGAGCACCAACTCAACTTTCACAGTTGACTGCTTGCATACCTGAATCTCAACCAGGTACACAGGCTCAAGAAATCTGGGCTCAGCTGTGAGCTGACAGGAGTAAAGCACCCTGCGTGCTGTGGGAATGATCTGGCCACCACCACGGTGGATGGCATCAGTGTGCAGGGTCACATCATGAATGTCAAAACGAATACCACGCATGTTCTCCTCGCACAAGACTCCCTAAAAAGAACGAAATGCCTTCAGAAAGAGCGCCAAGACTCAAAAACAACTAAACCACGGGTGCCCAGTCTTGCTCCTGTAGGGCCACCTTCTCGCAGAGGTCAGCTCTGACCCCAATAAAACACACCAGCTAATCAAGATTTTAAACTCGAAAGTTCCAGAAAGATGTACAGAAACAAATCTCTTCAAGAAGGTGGCCTAGGCCTTAGAGGAACAGGAAAGGACACTCTTGGTTAAGATGTGTAACATAACTTGCTTCTTTTATACCTCTTTAGTAGCCCACTGAAATCCAGCCACCACACTGTCCTTGATCTCATTCAAGTATTGGACTCCCTTGGTCACATCCACCAAAAATGTTGGGCCCAGTTCCATCAGGGCCAAAGCACCAGATTTTACAAGATTCTGTGACTTCCCATTCGTACTTTTCAGCAAGGTAACGGCACGGGCCTTCATCTCCTGTCTGGCAGTGACCTCGCCCTTATCAATGTCTTCAGTAAGACCCTCTGCCAGAGGACGAGCGTGCTTGTTAGGGGACTTGGAAAGGCACTGAAAAGCAGCTTAATAAAAGACTGAATATTGTAATGCTCCAGTTTTTTTTTAAAGAAATTGAGAAGTCGATGGTACTTTAAGGGGAATGCAGGCATGGTCCTCTTCAAGGTCCTTAAGGCATATCTCCAAATGAAGTTCACCAGCTCCGGCGATGATATGCTCACCAGACTCCTCAATGCACTGCACCATGGGATCTGACTTAACCAGACGCTTCAACCCTTCCACCAATTTAGGTAGATCAGCAGGGTTCTTGGCCTTTACTGCCATTCTCACCACAGGACTTACACTGAACTTCATCACACACATATTGTGGGCCTGCTCGTAAGTTGTGATGGTTCCGGTCTTTACCAAAAACTCATCCACAGCTACCAGACCCACAATGTTCCAGTGGTAAAATTTGGTCCTATAATGTGCACCTTCAAGCCAGTGGACAAACAGCAAGAGAAGACACAGCCAAAGGCATAGAAACGACCTTTGTCAGAGGTCGGCATCATCTTAGAAATGTACATCTTGAGAGGCCCTTTGGGGTCACAGTTCTTGATACCTGAGAAAATGGTGACAACTTAACTTTGAATAATCTAGACAAAAAAAAAAATCCTAGCTTCAATTTTTTATATTCTGAGAGCTATAACATACCCATGGCAGCCTGATCATCTCCAGGTCCTTCAGAAAGCAGCTCACAGCGGTACTTCTGAGCAGTAACCAGTGAGGGCAGGTGGATGGTGATCATCTGAAGCGGAGCTTCTCCTGCTGGCAGCCAGCGACGCATCACAGCCTTCAGCAGGAGCATGCCCTCCTTCTCCTCAGAATCTAATTTGATGTCCAGCTTTTCAATCAGCTTAGCGGTTTCCTCCAAGTTCATGATGGCATCAAATATCTATACAATGGGTAAAAAAAAGTAAAAAAAAAAAGTTACAGCTCCATAAAATATCCATATGCTCAAAGCAAACGAACCCAAGTTGTTCACAACAGCCATATATCAGACTGAATTTTTTCATCAAGACAATCAGGTCAAAGTGAAGAATTTTTAAATCATCATTAATGGCTTGGATAACTATGTTACCACTCATAGTGCAAGATTACTCACTTTGAAGACAGGGTCCAGGATCAGTTGGGCAAAAGTCCTGGTCTTTTGCCATCTGGTGAAGTGGCAGATTTGCTAAACTTGCCAGAGGAAGGGTCAAAGTACCTGCAAGAAAAGGTCACGTTACATAAAGAAACATTATATTCAGTTGTGTTGTTCTGTTGGGTTTTCCCCCATAGCTTCTTCATGTCCTCCACCTTCTTGCACCACTCAGCTGGTCCCAGTAGGGCTTCACCTTTGGCAGCAAACTTAATCACATACATCTCCACAAACTGCTTCAAAGTGAAAGCCCATCCATGCAGTCCAGATCCAAAGCCAACAGTACCAATGACTGGATCGATCCAAGAGCAGGATGTCAAGTAGACACTTAGTGTACTTTAAAATCATTTTAGGACAACCAATTTAAAATTCAACCCAGAAACAGCATAGAAGGATAAGTTATTTGAAAAATGTAAAGGTCCCATGAGCAAGCCATGAGGCACTCACCATAATGTTGCCCATAGGTCAATTCTCATCCTCGCCATAGGTGGAGATGATCACGTTGACGTTCTCGATGCGCTGGAAGGTCTGGTACAGCTCTTCAGGGCCAGCTGCAGCTCCAGCAATGTACGGTCCATCTTGTTCATCATCAATACTGGCTTTATTCTCTCACCAATGGCCTGTCTGAGCACAGTCTCTGTCTGGACACACACCTGCAAGACAGCAATTTTTATCATTTGAATAAATAAGCCACAGATCATGCAACATTTCAGACTGGGAGTCATATCTGGTTCTCTCACATTTGGCACCCTACACTTCAAAATAAAGTTTCTTTAATGGAATCTAGGATTCCATGAAGAACGTTTAACATTCATGGAACCTTTGCATTGCACAAAAGTTCTTATGATAAAAGGCTCTTTAAAAAAAAAAAAAATTGTTCCAAGAGCCGTTCACTGAAAGGTTCTTTAGGGAGCCTAAAATTATTCTAAGGAATCACTGCAAAAACA